AGAATTTTCCAACGCAAGAACTATGAAACATGCCAAAAGATAATAAATTTTACAAAATTGCAACTAAAATGTATATTCCTTTTCTCCAAACGTGTGACATTTTCAAAACGCTTTCTTCATTCCATGAGAAATCATAAAATCTATTGAATTTGCAGCTTAAATCAGCAAATAAAAGAAACTTATATATATGATAAAAGGGTGACTTTTCAGTAAAGGTGATTCATTTAGGGACTTGATATTGAATTATAATTTTCTACCATCATTTTATTCACTGAGTAATCTTTAATTTATGGTATAAATCTAAAAATATTTGTATGATGTCGCATAAGCGTACAAAACGCACTGTAATACAGAAAATACCCCGCCATGAAGGAATGCTCAAAGTAACACACAGAGCTTAAATTGCGCCGGAGCCAAGCGATGACCGGCTCCAATAATTCTCAGTTTTTGACAGAAATCCATAATTTTAGCCGGAGCGACCTGGAACTATAAAGGAAAAGGCTCCGGCATTTCTTTTGTGTAAATTAACCACAATTCCAACAGATTTCATTTTTTAAATTTTTTATAAATATCGGTTCTAACTTCTGAATGCAGGCTTATTTTCCAGGAAGTGCAATGAATTTAGGAGAGTAGGTTAATTTTTCGTTCCTGAAAAGGCTACAAGGTCGTTCACATGTCATGCTAGTAACTTCCTATTGCAAAGCTCCTGTACAACTTTTTGAGCAATATGATCAAACGTGGGGGTACTGTCACTTGTATAGAGGAGTCTTAACGTTTATTCTCGTTGTTATCGGATCGTATTCAGAGATAATTTTTGCTTGACAGCTGCAATTATACGGACAGGACGCGATCAGAAAGTCTTGGACTCTTCCCTCTTTATTGTTAAAACTACACTATTCCGTTAAATTTCCTTCTGTACCCTGATACTCTTTTTAGAATTCTGACTATTCTCCTTTGTGACGCTTTAATCGTTGTATCATTTTTCATTAGTGTACTGAAAAAAAAAAAAAAAAAAAAAAAAAAAGAATGGTTTTTGTATCTATCATCCCTTGAATAGTACATTTTATGTATAAACGGGGCTTGAATTCAAATGGAGATCGGCTGAAATACTTCTTGCCTTTTGAGTGGAATTTTAATTTCAGTTTGAGCCCAAAATAAGACGAGGTCCGATAATTTTTTTATTTAACTATTTATAATTAATCTAATGCTGTATTAAGTTTCTATCTATCTCTTTACATTTCTTTTAATTTTAATTTAATTACTTAATTATTTTATTTATTATTCCTTCCCTCGTAACAGTCTTCCACAGGGCTCAAGCACTTCTAATTTTATAAATTAAGCCCTGACTGCACATATATATGGACAAACAAGTGAAGAACGAATGATGTAATTCCTTGGTACAGACACAGGACTTTTAATGGCCTAATGTAGGGTCATCAATAAGAAGTGGCACCTCCATTTTGGGCAATACATTGCTGAACCCAACTGACACCCACTTAATGAACATCAATAATCACCTAGAAAAGTGTGCCTGAAATTTTTTTTTCACCTTACGATTGCATCTAGACCAGGGATTCTCAACCGGTGGTACACAAGTGGAAAATAGGTGGTACGCAAAGAAGCAAAGCATTTTTTTACTATTAAATTCAACAAATAAAACTCCAACATCTTGATTGAGTTGTTTCTCTAACACTCGTAAATGCATGCGATCTGAGCTTTGTTCAAGAATGGTGGTGGTAGTAGTACTTTGCAGTGGTATTAAAGGTTTTCAGTTTTTGTTTAGATGGTATGTGTTAGTCAAAATGTTGAGAGCCACTGATCTAGACAGTTGTGATTCAATACGACTCATGTACATAAATATGTTTTCAAGAAAATGAGGAAGAAAAGAATTTCTAAAAGAAACTAAAAAACACTATAGGCCATGCAAAACGCAAAATTATGAAAAACAAGCAATATCAAAGTCACACATATATTATCAAAGCCATATTTACTGAATTAATAATACAAATACAAGGGATAACTGATTATAATTGCAGCACCATTCGATTTGTGGAAACAGAAATCAGTGTTTTGTGTCGCTGATAAAGCTGGCAATAACTGCTACAATACTTCTCAAAACTGAAAGGAAAAGGACATTGGTTGAGTGTTTGGAATATGTCAGGCCTCACTCCTTTCGCATATTGTCAAAGTTCTCTTGCCATTCTAAAAAGGAAGAAAAATATGCCTTAGCCACATGACTTCCAGACTCTTATACAGTGATCATCATTATCGAGATAGAAATGGATTTGTTACTGAACACTACATTGTTTCATTTTGCGTCTCACACAGCTCTATCATGATGCTATTCTAAGCGATGTTGATGATGGATCACTGCTAAGGGCTGACCGCAATGAACGGCTGAGCAACCTGCCACACTCAATCAATGGGACACTATCCATGTCGATAGAATATCCAAAATGTCTTGTATCGTGAACTGTAGATGTGTTATAGAAATGTGATGATCTTTATTCTTTGATGTTCATCTTCGAGCTCACTCAGACATTGTATATTTCCTTCACTATCTCTAAATGTGACCGATGGCTGTAGTATACATACTGAGGCGTTTCTTTTACACTATGGCACATGAACTAACCGGTGGTACGAACACTTACTATGAAACCTTTTATTGCCGACCAGATGGTATAGTGGTTAGGGGAGCCTGATTGTGATACCAAAGCTCCCGGGTTCGAATCCCAGAGAAGGTATGGATGTAAAATTGTCTGTCATTTCGTAGGAGGTAACAGTGGCCGCATATTAGGTGCCTCCACAATAGAATGTGGAAGACTTCTGGCCTTAGTAGTGGCCAATCCTGCTGTAGGCAAATGCCCACCATTGGAAAGGGAGGGGGGATCATTTTGTTAATATTTTTGTTTGATGAAAATGTATATATTGGAATTTTAAAGACATTAATGCTTCTTGATCGCTATCCAGATGTAGACAGCAAAATCACATGCTTCTTGCAGCCATTATATCATGAATGACATGCTGACTGATTTCTTATATCATTCGAAGGGTTTGTGTAAATGGCGAGAAATTTTAATCATTTGTTCATGTGTATATATTCTGAAATTTTCATGGCATTACATTCACATGTTTAGGATGTGGCAATTTCTATTCAGGCAGCATACTTCTAAAGAAAAACAGAATTTAGAGATGTATATAAAAAAAGTTAAAGCATCTTAGAGACTAATTAAATGATATAAATAAGATAATTTGATAAAGATGTTATAAATCTTATTGTTTAATAAACAGATACCTATATCTTTTCAACCATGTGAGAGAATAACTTTGAATACATACATTAGGCACCACACAAAACCACCTCCATTTAAACCTAAATACATTTTTAGTGTTTTACACCATGGGAAAGAAGAGAGATAGTGACTACAGGGCTGAAGCCAGAACATGTGCAGTCAGTGCATCTGGATGCAAAATTTTTAGTCTTTAGTAAGGAACTGGGCGGCAGAATCTTGGAGTCGCAGAGTTTGCATGGGCGACAAAATGTCCAATGGCAACCCTTGTTACCAATATACATGTATCATGGCATACTATTTATACATCATTTAAGCTTGATCCTAATTCAATCCTATTTATTTTAATAATAAAATATTTCTTTTATATGTCCCACAACTTACGTCACTTTTGCTCGACTTTACTGCGCTGGTTTTACATTTCCCAGTCCCGCTGTTCAAGTATATTTCCCATATACGAAGAGAGGAGAAGAAAACAAAGGTATGAGGCATCACAATCTGATATAAGAATTGAAAACCAGTTCATGAATAGAGGGGATACGTCGAAGTAAAAATAGAGACTTTTTTTTTTTTTTTTTTTTTTTTTTTTTTTTTTTTCTGAACAGGACTCTGTGTTAAGTAAACTAGGTGGAGCAGAATTAACTGTCTCGAAAGTGAAAGGCACTCCCTTTAAAAGATAAAATTCAAATTTTAAAAGAATTTTATGAGAATACTGATTTGACGAAAGTTGAGTATGCCTGTGACAATACTTAAAACGTTTGTTTACAATAGAAAAAAATGTTGAAGAAAGAGCAAAAGTTTGTGAATAGTCCCCTTCAAAGAAATTGTGTGTTTAAGATGAAAAATTTCCCAAGATTGAAGCTGTTTTGCTAAAATTTTTCATCCAATGTTGTGATGATGCACAATCCAATCCACAGATTACATATCAGGTTCAATAGATTTAAATTACACTTTAAAAAGTAAAAACTTATTTTCAAATCACTTACCAACTAGAACACTAAACTACTTTTAAGGTTTTAGAGAATATTTTGAATTTATTAATTTTAGGTTATTTTAAACAGTAGAATGTTTTTAAATTTTTATCCGGTTAGTATGCAATATTTACTCCAATTATGATACTTTATATTTTTTCCACTAACATTACGCATATTTATAGTGATAATTTGATAAAACAAATTTTTAATGATTAAATAAAGTATATTTTAATTATATAGTTTAAAAAGTGCTTCAAGGTATTAAAAAACAAGTTTCTCCCCCTTTTTTTCAAGCAAGATCTCTTTTGATCAGAAGAAATATTTCATGAGACTTTCGCTCTATTTTAGCGAACCTATCATTTATGTAAACCTGTAGCATTCACAGAAAATTGCAAAAAAAAATTATAACGAAGTTTATGGTGCTTCTCAAAAAATGAATAAATACCTTTTTTAAAATTACATACATGTAATTAATATTTGAATTAAAGATTACTGAAACATCAGATGTTTTGAATATGCAAGCATCAGAAAAATTGTATGGAATTTCTTAAAGAAAATCTAATTACCTACACTAATTAAAAAAAATTACATGCTTTTGCACTCTCCAATAAATTTAATACAAACCTCTACTTTCAAAATTGTTGACTTACAGCATGACCATCATAAAAATAACAGAATGAAGTAAAACTTGTAACATTTGGAATATTAGCATACAAAACTAAGATCTATCTAGTAATTGTATTAAAAAAGAAGTAAATAATTTAATATTTTATTCTACAAAAATCTTTATAATACAATACTGCCATTTACATGAAGAAAATTGTTTACTAAATTCATTTCTCATTATTCAGGGACAAGATAATTGCCCACACAGTAATAGAATTTACAGATAAAACTTAAGGAGCAATAAGCTTCTCTGCTGCCTGTACACATTTCGCCATTGTAGAAGAGGCTCGGCTGATGGAATCTGTCATATAGAAATCTTTCAAATCTTTCAATTCAGTATCTAATGCTGTCGACTGCAAACTTAAAGGCTGATCCTACAGAGGGAAAAAAATATTAAGATAATATTTTTAAATAATTTCACAATTTTTTGTATAAATACATCTATCTTTTGAACTTTGCAAAAGTTAAGGGTGCAAATTGCTTTGCTGTCAAAAACCCCACATGTGACTTTTGACACCTATAAAAATGTAATTATTAATTGCCTGCTGTTGATTGGAAGCCCTTTCAGTAACAGAAAAAATTGATAATGCATATTTTATAAATAGCATATTCTGACAATAAAGTACCCTAAAGAGGGAAAGTATTATTAAGAAAAGCAGATACAAAAGATAAAAATGCATTTACAGTACAATGTTCACTGATATTTATTCTTTCTGTTTGCAAGATGAATCACTCATCTATTTAGACCTATATTTATTTATATTGCAAAATTGCTATTTTGTGAAACTCAAATATTGCATGCAATGCTAATTCTATACAGTGACAAATTTTTCACTTGACTGGTAACATACATATAACTATTACAAAATATCTAAAATGGAAGGCTTCTGCAAGAGACAACTGTAATTATGATAGGGATTTCAAAAATATAAACTGTTATCTACATATAGAGGGTTACTCATAATTCTATGACATAATTAAAAACTCATAATAAATAAATAATGCAACAAACACCAAAATTCGTTATACTAAAACAAAGGCAAAATTCCCAAGTTTTTTTTTTTTTTTTTTTCCCCTAAATTCCCAAGTTTTTGTTTAAATTATCATTTTATTATACAGTAAGTAACTATGCAATAACCCATTTCCTCCCACATCCATGCTAATATATCACGATCAACAACAAGTTGTGAAAGTTCTGTGGATTAGTGAAAAGCAAAGGTCTTGACAAACCCCCACAGAAAAATACCACATTGATTTAGGTGTGAAGACAGTAATGGCCACCATATTAACAGGTTACCTCTTTTGTAACCTCCTATGTAATACTGTAGTGGCACATTTTGATTGAAATATTCTTGCAAATTTCTCTCTCAAATTTTTTTAAGTATATACTACTTAAGATGTTTTCTATAATAATATCTATTACAATGAGATGGATTATACAATCAGTCTTGTTAGAAAAAAGTTTTTAATCAATTATGGGATGAGCCACCTTTCTAGTACATTTTAGTAACTCTTTAAACAATGATGAATACATAGGTGGCTGGTGGATTTGGCAGTTGCCAGGGGCCTTGACCTCTGTAGGGGGTTCCTTGAACACACATAATCATCAGATAATATGCTTTCCTAATTAGCGAATATTCATGTAACAAAAATATAGTGATATTTTAAATTTTGCCACATTCTCCTGTCTATTTATCTTTTTCTGTTCTTAAAAATTATTTATTAACCCTCCGAGCATTACAGGTTTAGCACTGAAATTTCAAAGTACCTCAAAATTTCATGAATAAGTGATATTTTCTTGATTTTAATTTAAAAAAATACTACCTCCAGAGTTTGTACACATTTCTGCACACGGAAATTAAGTACTTTTAAGGACAATTCATGAAAAAATTAAGGACCTATAAGCAAATGGGAACTGAATAAATTCAATTAAAATATTATCTATGCTGAACTTCACTTTTGTAATACCATCCTAAAAATAAAATAGATCCATAAGTAGGATGCATTAGTATTAAATTAGTATAATTATTAGTAAGTTTGAGAATAAGTTTATGAAATTTATCATTAAATATTTTACACCAATACTAACTGGACATATTTAAAAGAAGATAAGTGACATTTTATTTAGGTTTTACTAACAGTTTGCTTTGATTTTTTTAATGTCTCATTTTGTCACATACTTGCTCACTCTATGAGTTTAGTAAATAGTAAGTAGATTTTATGCCAAGTGGCATAGGTTAAAGTGAGAAGTAAAATCACAATCAGCATGATTCAAAACAAAAGACTGGCTGTTGTCACCGCTCCTGCTTGCCTAGGAGAGACCTGATGATCAGAACAAACCTTAAGGCCTGATGTAAGCACGGTTCGAAATTTTGAAAGTAAGCTGAGGTCTGTCTGACGCAGTTAATGTCGTAGCTTCTTGGAGAGTTCCAGGGATTGTAACTCAGTTAATATAGTTAATATAGTTTAAGGTCCTAATAATCCACGAAAGCACCAGAGGTGACAAGTTCTTTTGCATTATTTTAAGTCTCACTAGATGCGAAGAATAGGTTTTACATGAATTTTTACATTTTTGTGTTTTATCTTGTGACCATGATAAGGGTTAATGAAAGACAATAACTTGCTTTAAAATGCAGAGATAATCTTTAAAGGTAATCAGTTAGTTATAAGTAATTAAATTGGGTATTAGATAACCTTAGTCATTATGGAATCACATGGCCACTATTAAATTTTATTTTTTAACAATATTTGTTAAAAAAGCCCTATCAAAATCTAATACAATTTCACAATTTAAAATACATGTAATTCATGACATTGATTCTTCAACAATATTAGGATAATTACACATTAAAAGCAGTAAAACATTTGTTTTGTAAGAACAACACTCCACAAAATATTTATCCATAATTTTAATTTGAAGCCTCCCAAACATTTTGGCTACTTTATATTGATTTCCTTTTCTTTAAGCATCTTTCCTAAAAATTAGATATTTGTCTCAATATGCAAACCAATCCTCTCGCTAGTTTCTGCGTGCTTTATCTCCTAACTTGTCAACCTCTCCAAAATGTACCTATGAGGCTATACTTAATCTGGTAAAAATTACATAGTCCAACCCCCCCAAAAGATATGAAAATTATCACTATGCCTGAAAGTAACTAGAAAGTCAGACAAAGGTTTAAGTAAGCCTCTGATTTAAAAAGAACTTGGAACATAAAGGCATGTTTTTATGCTTCATGCTAACAAAATTAATTACAGCTCATGTGATGTAATTAAGAAGAATCAAATTCAAACTAAATATGTGGACTACTGTCAAAGACTATACAATTTAATTTTAATTTAAGCTTGCTCAAAAACTCTATCATCATAAGAAATTCAAATGTCGATAGCGATAATGCAAAGACGAATAATTACAAATTATCAGAACTGGCAGGAACTAATGCAGTAAGCAAGCGGAGGTCAAAAACACACTTCTGTCTTACGTACTAAAAAACTCAGTTTAAAACTGTTCTAAGAGATTTGCATTCTGTTAAGGAAATAGAAATAGGAAATTATAGCAAAGGCTGAAACTATAAACAACTGGATAATTTACATAATAATATCTCTACACATCTTTGAAGAATAATTTTCTTTTCTCTTAATGTATTCAGTTTTTTCTTCCATGTTTCCTATTCATTTTACAGTTTTTGGATTTAATTAAAGATTTCTGTTATTCTAAAAATACTAAATGCATTTAGAATGTATAGAGAAAGCTTCTAATTTTATAGTAATAGGAACATTCAGAAGAAATATGCAATATATATGGTAAGGTCCAGTTACAGAGCTGGTGTGGCAGAATTTTTTGAATTTATTCACACATCGAGCAACAAAATCTAGAAATGTCAAAACTTTTAGAATTTAGAACAGGCACTGGAAGCAAAATTTACAAAGGCACCAAGCAGCACAATTCAGTGTGTATGATGCATTAATACATATTAGATGAATCGTTTAAATTGTCAGTTTTCAATTTCTTAATTTCTTCAATTAATAAAAAAATTATTTTCTATAATTGCCTGTCCATATGATAAGATTAGAAGATTTTTGATATTTTAAGCTTGTGTCTAGTGTGAAAATAAAGAAAATAAAAGAAAGATAAAAATGTTAAGAAAAAGATTCTAGTATCAGAACTAAAACATTCAACTATTATGTTTTTATTGCTCTTCCAGATATTCTCCAAAAAGTAAGAAATTATGTATTAATACTATGGAGACATTTTTCATTTTGCCACATTTTTCTGGAATCTTCCAGAATAGTGGGTCTAAAAATCTTGCCTTCAAATCTTTTGTAAGCTTTCCAAGTTGCAATGTCTAAAATACTAAAGAAAAATTACCCCTGCCAATTCAGTAACAGTAAAAAGCCAGAAATATTAAAAAAAAAAAAAAAAAAAAAAAAAAAATCAGATAAAAAAATGTGTAAAATTAATTTTATAGAGAAAACTGACGCATATTCTGAGACAATTACATAAGGAAACCCTTACCAGGAAAAAATTAAAAAGAAATTTTTAATTAATTACATAGCTATTTTGCTTTTGTTAAGACCCGTTTCGTAAACTGTGCTTTATACCATTAAACCTTGCTTATTTTTCAGATTCAAAATATTGTATAAATGTGGCCAAAATGGAGCTTTATAATACAACAGCAAAAAATAAAAATGCTTTATTTTAATGTTATTTCTTATATGTAATTACAATATGTTACCATTATTTTAATTAAACTTATCAATGTTACAATGTTTTAAAAAAATCGTCGAAAAATTCCCAGATCTCGGAATTAAAAATTTTTAATAGAAACTGATCTTAAAATTGCCAATGTTGATAAGTCGCCAAATTTAGAGCAATTTAATAAAAGAATTCACATCCCCCCAAAGCGAAAAGTTGTTTAAAAGCTCTTCACTAGAAAAAATGAAATAATTTCGAATGCTTTATGTTTCACACTTGTTCAGAAACTCTATCCCACCCTTTATATTAGAAAAAGTAACAAATTATAACCCATGAACGCATTCACCCATTCAAAAGATAACGATATTTGTCAGAGAATTGCCAAAAATATTCCTCCAAAATGTTAATTCACACTCAAAATGGCAGTTGTAAAAACAGTCAGAAATTTCAGATGATTAAAAATTAAGGACCTTCTGACGATTTTGGCCGAAATTAAGGATTTTTAAGGACCAAAAATCGATTCCAAAAAACTTAAGGACTTTTAAGGACTCTTAAGGACCGTACGAACCCTGTACCTCCTTTTGTACCTTGATTCTTTTTCTTCCAATATACATCCAAAGCTAGCAGAAATTTTCAGGTATAATGAATATAGAAGATAGCCTTCTGTACGGAATTTTCAGGCCATAATGCTGAGAGAGTTAAACTTCTCAAAAACAAGCACCTGTGTTTCCGAGCAATTTCATGCTCACATTGAGGTAATTGCCTTAACCCCTTCGCGCCGACTGTCACGTCTACGTGCCAGCAACGAACACACGAACCTCCCGGCCGAAACGCAGGCGTGCCAGAGCATTTTTCCGTTCACTACTGACTGTCACATATTTGTGCCAGTGTCCTGGAACGTTGTAAAAACTATAATTTCTGCCACAAGATGGCCCTGTATGTCCATATGGTTTCAGATACATGTACATTAGACCTCTATTCGAAATGAGAGAAGCATGACTCACATACACATGTTTTTGATTATATAAACAAAAGGGGAAATAAATGTTTCCGAATGGTGTGATTTATGACGTCTCTTTAAATCGCACTTTATTCGCACGTGGTAGTTGTTTATTTAAGTAGAGAAGTTTTATTTGCGCTAAAGCATTGTTCAGTTGTTGCAGTTCAGTTTTCAGAACATAATTAGATCTTGTTAGACATGAATTCTTTCTGTTTTTACCGTTGCAATGTCAAAGCGTCGAAAATGTTTAACAGAGCATGAAATAGCAGAAATGATGCAAAATATTTCAGATATTGATTCTGAAATTCAGATATTCTGATATGATTCTGAAAGATTAACTGAAAGACATTTTCCAAAACTTTGTTCAGAAGAGACTGATAATAAAATGAGATGACGATGCTTCGTTTGTTCATATTCCCCCCAAAATCCTCCAAAACGGCAAATGAGTTATTACGAGTGCAAGGAATGTAACGTAGGACTGTGTGTAGATCCCTGTTTTTTTCAAATTTTTCATACAAAAAGAGAATTTTAAGTAATATATTTAGTTTCAGATGTATAATGTTAAAAGTCATAAAATGGTGAGTAATGAAAATAAAATGTGTAAAATATGCATTTAAACAAGAAATAAGGTAATTAAAGTATATAGTATAAAAATATCTATAAAGCATAAGCCGTTTAAATACTCTATAGAGCATATTAAGCAATGCGTTGATACTTCGGAAATTTCATGGATTTAGGCTTAGTAGAAAAAAAGCCCCCGGCCCTGGACAGATGCTCGCGTAAGACACTGCCGGCCTCCTCGATAAGCGCGCGTTTGCGCTACCCGGCTCGAAGGGGTTAAAGAAAAAGACTACCACTGATCTTTTATTGACAAACGTTTGGTGAGCCAGGAAGGACCTTTCTCATTTATTATGCAGGGGGAAAAAACCTTTTTCTTTTTTTAACTAAGTTTGGTGGTGCTGTACATAAAAATTTTAGGAAAGAAGGATTCCATTTATGTGTGCTCTTGCAATGAATTGATTAACACATTCAACTAATAACTCAAAGATCAGTGGTTTGATTCTGTTGGAAAAGCAGTTGACTTTTCATGTTTCCTTCTTTAACCCTTTGCGGCGCACTATACGTTAATGTCGGAATTTCAACAAAAAAAAGTTTTACTCAGTCTAGTTAGTCTTAAAGGAGTATACGGGTAAAATTTTGTCAAAATTGCACTTACTGTTTTAATTCTGTGGGTGTTCCATGAGGTGGAACACTGCACTGCCAGAGCTTTTAAAAGTGCGACTAAGCGAGCATTGCAGTGAAGCATGAAAATGAGTAGAAGCATTTGTATAAGAATGAAAAAACTCTGTATTATGGCTGTATACATGGTTTACTGGATATACACAATATTCTTGAATATATATGGATAAATGAGATAAATATCTATATACACAAGTCCTATATACAAAAATATTTACAAATTTTCGGGAAGAGCGCTTCGGAAAGAGTTAGACCTCTCCGCACCATTTATGGAAAATTAATAATAAAAAAATTAACTACGATTAATATTAACAATAAAGAAAAATAAACCTATAATATATTACATACACGAAAAATATTTACACAATTATTGAAAATTAACGGGAATGAGACTAAAATGCGACAGCAAAAAATACGTGCAGGTCTAAGTAAAGATGAGTCAAGCTACTAATAAAATTCCCACCTAAAAACTACTCCCAAAAATTTCGAGATGCCAATATTAAGGCTTTCATAACACAAAACACACCTCACCCCTCAATACTTCTTTCTTTGAATTCATTCCCTCCACCAAAAAAAAAAAAAAAGTAAACAAAAAACGTAAACAATGGATGTTCTCTCCTAAACACAGATGTTCTGATTCAAAACAGCATGAGATCGCTAAAGGCGCAGTGTTCCGGCTAATGGAACACCCAGTTTTATTCAATGATTCTGCGTATGGTTTGTATAAAAGATTAAAAAAAAATATAGAACAAATAATTTGGAGTACAGCCAGTAAAATTATGCCTAATTTTTTTTCCAAATAAAGTTTTTTATATCATTAAAACAATAGAGAAAATTACTTGAAAAAAAGTGGATTTTAATAACACATAAGAAATGAAAATTCTGTGTCTCCTTCTGATATGCTGCTATCTACTGTTTAAAAAGAAAAGTTCAAAGTATATTATAAAGGCATTTTTATCTTTTTACGGTTGAATTTAAAGGTTTCAGAAGCGATTCAATTTGTGTGTTCCATGTAGTGGAACACTGAGCCACAAAGGGTTAAGAAAACCTAACAGTCTTTATATAAACCTATATTTTACATTTAACTTTGCATACATTACTGCACCTAATTATATGCTTGGTAAATATCCTCATTACTCAAATGTATATTTAATACTTGCCATTGTAGTTCCATAACTGACTTAATTTTGTCTATTGCTTGTATGATTTTTATCTGTTTGTTTATACTACAGAGTAAATCAGTCATCCTTATCTGTTTACATTGCATATTCTGATGCATATATTAAACTTATTTTTAGTCTTCATAGCTAACTTCTTAAATGAAATCTGAGAGATTCTTCTTAGATGAATGTATATATTAAACTTATTTTTAGATTATCTAGCTAAATTCTTAGATGAAATCTGAGAAATTCTTCTTAGATGAATGTTACACTGAAGTTTCTATGCCTAAATGTAATGTAAAATACATAAAACTGAATACTTTGAACTTCTAAGTCACCATGAACCATGGTTTAACACCATATCTTTTCTGATCAAAGTTCTTCTAATCACGCAGCAGCATGAAACTACAATAAGGTTTTCAGCTCAATTTCTAATCAATGACAAATTTAAAAATGCAGTACTCTTAAAGCACAAGCTAAATTTCTTTCTATTTTGTGATTAAGCTTCCACCTGCTATTTAACAATGGGATAAGAATGCAGCAGGCATTTGGCAACATCTGTTTTGCAAAAAGCAGCCCAGTTTGGTATTGATAATTTAAACATAAAAGGACATGAGCCTGTTATGTATTTATTTTTTACTGCCATTCAAGTACTGCAATTCCTTACAATAAGGGAAATAAATTAGAGAGGGATCAAGAGCAAGAAGAAAGATACTCACTGTAAAAAGTGCAGAACTTTCAGTGAGGAAGTTAGCTTCTTCTATATGACCATATCGAGTTAGATGAGGAGCTACTTGTTCCATTCGATGCCTAATTTGAGCTAAATTATCATAAGGCAATCTATTTCCTGCCACCTGAAAAATAATAATGCAAAAATTCCTGAATAATTTCTAAGGTAAATATTATAAAATGAATACCATGAACTATGAGACTTTATAATAAATAATCTTAAATAATTTTTCTTTTAATCTTAATATTTTTTTCTTTGAAATTTAATATTTCTAGCCAATACTTTTAATTTTATTAAGATTTAGGAAGTTGATACTACACTTAGATAACTTCATGACATGAGTTTGTTTTGTACAAAGTACATTCTTAACATAACTAATTATACTGTATGCTTCCTATTGTTATAGTAAGCAAAGTGATCTGAATTGATTTTAATAGAGAATAATTTTTAATAAATTAATTTTTAATTCCTGTTTAAATAATATTACACCATATTATTTAAGAATGATTAAATATTTACTTAGTTCTTATTAAACAAATAATTACATTGATTTATTAAAAAAGATAAATCATAAAAATATTAATCAGAAAGTAAAATCATACATCCAAGGATCACATATATATAAATTACCTTATTAATAAATGGGGCTATACTAAAAAAATCTTAATCACACTGCTATGTTAAATCAATTAAATATCAATCATAGAATTACTAAATATTGTTGTACAGCATTAAAACACATTAAGGAAAGGAAAAAAAACCTCTGAGAGTGCTCTAATTATTTTCCAGTCTTCTTTAGCTAAGCCTGGAGGGGTAATAGCCTGTAATGTTTGCTGTGTTCGTCCTTCTGTATTCACATATGTAGCCTGTTTCTCAGTATAAGCTGCACCAGGTAAAATAATATCTGCAATTTCAGCTCCTTTATCACCATGATGTCCTGGTTAGATAAAATGCTAGTACAGTCATATAAAATAATTTTAAACACATATTGCAAATACTCATAAGACAAATAGATGGTCTGTTTTAAACATTCATTGACTCTTTTAGATATAAAAATAATGAACTTTTAAAAGACATACTAAATCTTTAAGAGATTTTCTGTCACATTAGAAAGTCATTAAAAGAACGAATTTGAACCAATTCGAAAAAACATACTGAAATGTTTCAGTGGTTGTTAAAAAGGTATAAAACTAGAGCTGAGCATTAGTACACACAGTATTATTAAAGCTTAAGGGAGGCACATTATTTTTACTTATCATATGAAACCAAGTCTGCAGAAAACAGATGTATAAGAAATATAGAAATAATACAGAAGCAGCTCTCAGCAAATGTTGCCACTGCATATAACATAAGACTTAACTTATCTCCATGTGCCTTCAAAAATAGTGAATTCTTCGAATACTGCCATGTAGCAAAGGATAAGATCTTTAATTTACCATTTTTATTCAAGAAATCAGACCGAAATATCAATTGACTGAAAATAATTGGTAACTACTTTGTTGTCAAAAATCTGAATTAATTGTTCCACTATAATAACTACAGCACTCAGCCATAATTGTCTTTTTAATACAACAACCATTAAATTTATTGGAGATACACTTTAACTGCAACAGCAATTAAATTTTGACTCAACAGTGGCCTATTACAGTATTTGTTGAGTGATGTTAATTTTATTTGAATTTGAATCCCAGCAAATAATATGGAGGTTTGGCCATCCTTATGACTTCCTCATGTGCAACACATATATTAATTCAGTGTCTCTTATAAAGTTCCCCATAAAGGTATTTCTTCCTTCACATGCTTTGCCACATTTAATTGCACAAATAGTTCACTCATATATTTGCTTCACAATTCCAAAATATTTTGGCATGTAACATTACTTAATTTCACTATTTATTGCAAAAATGGTATATTTAAAAATGGTCTAATTCATAATTAATTGCTACAAGCTCGAGTTCACACAGTAGTTAGCCAGAATGGTCTTGAATAGAAAATAAAATCTTTTCTACCTGCATGTACTTCTTAACAATAGAAGTTAAATTGTTATTTTATTATTACTTGAAGCTATGGAAAATACTTCTTACTTACAATATTACCACATATAACTAATGCCTTTTAATTATTTATTGAAAATATCATGAATTATTTATTGAAAAATAACAGAAAAAGTAAAAATTCAATAATTCAAGAAGAATGGACAATAACACTATAAAGTTTACACAGAAACTGCCAGAAGAACATGGGTTTTTAAATAATGTAAGATTTTATTGCCGAATACATCTTTATTAAGCTTTTTAGCAATTAAATATGCTAATAAGCGAAATAAGAAAAGGGGGGATCTAAAAATGTACTTTACTACAAATCGGATATATGCTACTCCATTTTTTAATAAAATGATGTCAAGAGATCGCAGCTGCACAATAGATTCGAGGATCAATCCCCCGACTGGGCAAGGTTGACTCAGCCTTTTATCCCTTGTATGGGTTGATAAAATGAGTAATAAGTTAACTTGGGGACTAAACACCAGGAGTCCTGCAACAAGCTGTTCACTTGCCCAGGGCATATGCTGATGATTTCTGGGGACCAAGGTCAAGAAAGCAGATTTCGGGGTTATACAAAAATAGTTCCAGACAGTATCTGCTACCTTATCTCAGTTTACTTAATTTCATTTGGATAATGATGATATGCTGAGAACATTCATGTATGATAGAAAGGTTCATTATCTCAAGCATCTACAATATCATAATCATCACAACTTATGCTCCGAACCGAGTGGACTTTGCTTAAATAAGAGAACAACAGTACCAGGATCTCTCTGCAAGAAATACTGCAAAGACTAAAACTGAAAACTTTGCATATTTTAATATCTGAATCTTTTTGATAAACTTAACAGATTTTTTTGATAATTACGTTTTCATAATGTGAGCAATTTTTTTAATGATCTTGCATTATAGGATGTTTTATTATGAGCATTCCTAAGCAATTAAACACGTCAATGATCATAGTAATCTAGAATAATATAGTAGTATCTCTAACACTCAATGAATATAATAATTTCCAAGTAAATTGATGTTAGAAGATTTTTGAAGGCCATTTTATATGGAGTTATATTAACTGCCTGTAAACAGCATTAAAAATATTTGTTAATAAAATATGCTATCAAAAATCTTTTCAATAACTATTCATAATCTAAAGCTCTCCACTCCTGCTAATTAAAAATCAACAGCCTACTCTCCAGTCAGTCAGCAAAGGTCATCTATGCTAAATAAATATGTCTCTTGGGAAAGCTAATTAATATACACACATACATACACATGTCAAATAAATTTTTTATGTCTTGTGTGCTTTTAATAAATATCAGAAATTCCAATGGAATATAATTAGATAAGTGCGAAATGAATGTGTAATTATTTTTAGTGCTAAATTAAAATTTAAAATTCAACTTTAGCATAATGCTGATGATCCTACTTGTAAGACAAACTAATACAGTACAAAGTCCGAAATCCGGACCTGTTGGGACTCCGGCGATTCCCGATTTGGGATTTTTCCGGATATTAGATCATCAGCTTAAATCTAGTAAGATGGCATGTAGAAATTATAAAATTGAAATTATGAAATAATAAAGCATTTATGATCTAAAGGGTATCCAAATTTACAAAAAAAAAAAAAGCTAATATTTATTTGTTTACCTTATTAAACATTTCTTTATATGTAAGTTGTTTAAGTTGCTTCGATTTTTTTGTGCTAATACTTTCTCTTTAATTCTGTAGACAGACATAATCTCTTGTTCAGTTACATTGTTGATGTCCTGTAACTGCTGAGTCAAGGATTCTGACCAACTTGTCAATCAAAATTTTTTCATTTTCAGTAACTTCTTTGTCACTTTCTTCACTATCAGTAGCGGTATTTTCTGTATTTAGAACCATACTACAGTCTAAATCGGCATTCATTAATTGATTGATGATTAAGAAGCATTGTCATCACAATGAAACCTTCTTTTATATCTTCTTCATTTATTACCGCTTCTTCACATTTCTTTACAAAATCCGTAATTGGAATATTTTCACCTTTGTTTTGCGATATCCAAAAACCTTTAAAATTCATGGCTATCATGATCAAATTTACTATCATTCACTATACATATTTGGCTATACATCATGAGCTTGGCGACTAACGACAAGTTGTTCCGTTAAATTTTATCTTGCTTCTATCACGCATTGAGACAATTAAGTCTGAATTGTATTTGTTACTTATTATACTTATGTCTGTTTCTTGCACATTCTAAGGCTTATCAGAGTTCTGAATAAATAAATTCCCACATATACTTAAGCCTTATCGAGGGCCGGCACTGATTGTCTTACCGCCTAATGCAGTTTCTGTGGATCCGAAATTTTCGACCCGGTGCGGCCATACGAGCCCTAAAGCTGGTTCTGGGTTTATAATTCAAATAGACCTAAATGTAATCTTTGGATCTATGAGTATCATCAACAAAATCTGTTTTTAGCATATGAAAAGAAATTTTTCCTTGTCAACATTTTTTAGTGCATTTAACTTAAATCTGTAATCATCGCCAAGCGTAATGTCAACATAAAAGGTTACCATACTCCTTTATTATTCAATTACCAACATAAAAAAATTGTTTAGGCATCACTGCATGAGTTATTACTCAAGCTGTCATGTGTTGATAAACATGCGGTGATGAAAGTACAGTATAATAAATCATGATTCGCCAGGTTGGATGGCAGATCAATGATGTATCTATGTGGAATGTTTCGGTTTGAGATGGTGATTTTGGATTTACAGATACGCAGCAACGGAGCCAAATTACTGATCGAACAAATTTATGCTAAAATGATTGTTTCTTCAATAACAAGGTATTTTATTTAGTGCTGAAGTGAAATTAAGAATCGGGACTCTCCAGATGTTTTATTATATGTGGAGGGAGGAATCAAATGTACATGCATAAAATGAAAAAAACGGCGGTTTCGAGGTCTGGATTTCAGATCATTCCGGATAATGGACGTCTGGATTTCAGACTTTGTACTGTATTTAACTTAATATACTAAAAAATATTATGCTATTATTTACAGCTGATTTACTTAGCAATTTACATGCAGTACATTCATTAACCCATTCAGGACCAGCGTTGCATATACGCGACACAACGATTGCATTCTTACCAGCCCAGCGTTGCACATACACGAAGAGCTCCAATCAATCTCTACAGCTCAGAATCGCGTATACATAACATGAAAATAGAACGATTTATTTGAATTTTTAAATGCCAGTAGATGTTGTTAAATGGTAATGGTTTTCACATGGGATAAGTCATGTGGCTTTTGACCTTCATGTATGAGCATCAGTGTCTGGTTTGTGCTTCTGGGTTTGATAGATTTATTGGTGTAAACAAACTGGGATTCACAGCTCTTTAAGTTGGCATGTTTGATTATTTCGTTAGGATTTTTTTTTTTTTTTTGGTCTTTGTTTCTATTCTTTATGTTTTTAGTTATTAGAATGTGGGGGAATATATCCAGCTCATCTTTTTTTTGTGTGTGTGTTTTTGTTAGGAGAATGTGGGAAAATGCATCTAGCTGATTATAGCGGGTATAACATCACCGAGCTTCCATGATTGAAAAAACTCATACCAGTTGTTCTTTTTTATATTTATTTTAAAACTTAACATACGCTTTCTTGGTTAATTAAAAAGTAACTTTACAGCAGTATTACAGAAATGGAAAAGATAGCAGCTTCCTCGATGCATGATGCATCTTATAATATATTATATAGGTAATTAAAAATTATTAATAGAAATAAATGAAACATGCAAAATACTTATAATTTTAGTATTTTGCATGTTTCATTTATTTCTAGTAATGTGATATTCTTTATATTAATACATATTAATTAGTATATTACATACCTAACTCCAAAAAATCGAAGCCATTATATTAAAATGTTGATTTTATATGAATTTTTTTGTAAAAGTAGGCTTAACTGCTAAAAATGTGTGGGCCGGCGGTGGCGCTCCATTTCAGGGGGTTCGGTCCTGTGGCTGTACGTCGTTCTCTGCACGCTGGTCCTCAAGGGGTTAATCAAGAGGTTTTTCAGTCTATGCATTCATCAGTTTTATTTTATGAGTTTATCTTGACAAGTAGACAAGTGTGCTATATCAATATAACACATAAAATAATTATTTAGAAACAAACCAAAACAAAATTCAATAAGCATTTACCTTGGTAAACAACAAAACAATCTCCAGGAACATTCTCTTTTGAAATGAGTCCTTCATCAGCTCCCAGCAAATATAAGAATTTAGGCCGATTTTTCTCTAATTTTTCTGGGCATGATTTATATCCTATATCAAGAGCTGCGACTTGATTAGCAACCTAAATTAAACAAATATTTACACTTAAAAATTCTTTCTACGTATTATTTCACAGATTAAATTTGCCTCATATGCAATGAAATGCATCATATATTTTCTCTTTTTATTTAAGAATAAAATACATGCAACTTTTTAACACTGCAGAAAACAAACCAAGGCAGCAGCATTTTGCTATTTAAAAAGACAATATCCAAACTGATTCCTTCTAACAGATTCTTTTACACATCAGTTTTTTCAGAAACAAAAGAGCAAACTCATTTGCCAGCTAGGGCTATACAGGCATAGAATAATGATCTCCTGACTTCTGAAATGAAGCTTGAACTTGTTAAATTTGTAATATTTAGTTTAATATTCATTAATATTCAGCTGAATATCTCAATTTGTTGTTCCAGTTCAGATGTCATAGACTTCTACAGACTATATTGGTGAGGTTTAAGGGGTATGAGCAACCCCTATAGTGACAATGTTAAATTGGCCATTTTTTATGTACCTTTTCTCAAAATCTGCTGTAGATATAGGCTTGAAATTTTTTGTGTAATTAAAGTATACCTATCTGATTATACTGAAATGAATTTTTGAAACATTTTGAATTTTAGAGTAATTTACAGAATATTTTGTTAAGTATAGTAAAATTTAGCACTTTTCTCATGGGGGGGGGAATTGTTTTTTTTTAGTTTATCACAAAAAGCTCATTTAGGAAATATTATGAAACCTAATAAATAAGCCATAAAAATGTTAGATACCTGTGAGCAGTAATTCCTGAGGAAAAGGTACATCATCTATAAAAAAATCACGTTTGGAGAAAAAAATTTTTTATGTAAAAATCCTCGTTTATGAAAACATTTGATGACAAATTAAAACTATATTTTTTTATAGTTCTAATTTTCATAGAGATTAAAGAATGGTATTTTTAGAAAGATAAAAGTATAGAGAATTTGAAAATGCAAAAATCCGAAATTACCATTTTTTGAAGATTTTTGGTTTCCAACACCCCTTAAGAGTGGAAATATCATGTGGCTTTTGACCTTCATGTATGAGCATCAGTGTCTGGTTTGTGCTTCTGGGTTTGATAGATTTATTGGTGTAAACAAACTGGGATTCACAGCTCTTTAAGTTGGCATGTTTGATTATTTCGTTAGGATTTTTTTTTTTTTTTTTTTTGGTCTTTGTTTCTATTCTTTATGTTTTTAGTTATTAGAATGTGGGGGAATATATCCAGCTCATCTTTTTTTTGTGTGTGTGTTTTTGTTAGGAGAATGTGGGAAAATGCATCTAGCTGATTATAGCGGGTATAACATCACCGAGCTTCCATGATTGAAAAACTCATACCAGTTGTTCTTTTTTATATTTATTTTAAAACTTAACATACGCTTTCTTGGTTAATTAAAAAGTAACTTTACAGCAGTATTACAGAAATGGAAAAGATAGCAGCTTCCTCGATGCATGATGCATCTTATAATATATTATATAGGTAATTAAAAATTATTAATAGAAATAAATGAAACATGCAAAATACTTATAATTTTAGTATTTTGCATGTTTCATTTATTTCTAGTAATGTGATATTCTTTATATTAATACATATTAATTAGTATATTACATACCTAACTCCAAAAAATATCATGTGGCTTTTGACATTATTTTTGAACTCTTAAGGGGTTACATACTCTTAAGAAACTCTCTTAATTAACATACTCTTAAGGGGTGTTGGAACTTGAACAAAAGCACTCTTAAGGGGTGCTTTTGACATTATTTATAAGTATTGTGCATTCTATTTAGGTCTAATATGTGTGACTAACTTTCATTTATACCCTTAAATGTATCAGAGCATCTTCATTTTTATCTGTTGAAAGTCAGGAAGCAATCGTTTGGACTTGGTCCAGTACATTTTATGACAAGCAACTTAGAAGTAACAACACAGATGCAACCAGATTAATCATACAGCTTACATGAACAATCTAGTTTTATATGCTTGAGCTCTGTATTATAAAGTAAAAATGGTTGCAATGCTGGTCACAAAGGACTTGCCACATTTGACTGAATGTTATAACTGCCAAAAGTTTTGCATTGCAAATGCAGGAAGGATACATACTCTAACTTGTGGCTACATTTCCGAGGCTTTTAAATATCCACAGTCAATGGTCATGTTCAAAGCAATACTTTTGAATATCTACAATCAATGATCTCAAGAGACTATCAGAAATAATATAATTCCAGATATAAAACTATCCATAATCAGTTATAGTGAGCATTGTAGAAGCAGAGAATTGATGAAAAACTAAAACTGCTGACAACTCTCAGTCTTGGAAATTTTTGAATAGTGCTCAATTCTGAGATAAATCCCACACTGTTAGGATGATGATGATAGTCACACTATAAGTAATAAAATGTGCAGTAATGTAAGAAAGTATGGTTGCTGACCCACATATGCATCCAACTTGATAAGCTGACATTATACTGTACTATTAGATGAGATCCTTTTCACCTACTACAGCTTGGGATCCACAAATATAAACTCTACTTATTGGACACTACAACAAAATATATTGAAACATTTTTTTTTTTAGATTTACATATTTAAAAAAAAAAAAAAAACTAATACCACTATATTTACAAGGAAGAAAGAGAAAAATGATATAATTTATTTATTAATTTCTACTTTCAATAATAGCATTTTAAAGAATATCACTAGAAAAGATCCATAAAACCATAACTACCATATTAATTTAAGTCTTGGAATACCATACCATATATTTTTAAAATCCAATCAGAAAATGCTGTGTTTACAAAATATATTTAATTCTGATGTTCACAATGATTTACTTTAATTTTCATCTTTACAATCTTCAGTTCAGATGCTTTCTAGATCATTAAGGATACACAGGAACAGAACATATTGTGAAGGACTGATTAATTCATACACACTGATAACAAATCTGATGGTCAGGTATAAGTGGTCACCCTTGTTTAACCTCTTTGCTTCTGATGCTGTAAGAATGAAGTTTCTTTATAAACAAATGACCTTGAAGCATTGCTATGATATTATGTGCCAGAGCACTTTTTGCTGTTAAGCCTAACATGCAAAAATAATTTGCTATAAAATCTGCTTTTTAATAAAATATTTGGATTTTAGCATATATTATTTAAAAGTTACTTTTTATAATATAAACAGAAAGCCCTAATATTCACAATAAAAATAAAAAAATAAAATAATTATAATGCAACATTAGTAATAAAAGATTTACATATTTAAACAATACCCATATAGTAATTAAATGAAAAATTTTAGAACTGTAATATCAATTCTTATTATAGCCTAATGTGAAATTTGAATAAAAGATTTTCAGCTGCTTGCACTAAATAAAACATAAACTTTAAAAGTCCATTGTAAGCATTGCATATTTTACAGTCATAAAATAAACATGTATATAATACTCATACATAAGGTTAACACTCAAGACATTCTTTCTGACTAAGTTTTTCGTACAATTTTGGCAACATTTAAGAGCATTTCAAATTACACGTAAACTGTTCCATTTCAGCGAATCAAATGCAATAAGCTAAACCACCAGTAACATTTCACTTCCGAATCATGTTTGATGCTGTGGACCGATGGAGAGAAACAGAAGCATTTTATATATAATATGCTGATAGTGAAGAGGTTAAAGAACAGCTTCCATCTGACATGGCTTTCGCTGTAGTCTTCTATATGGTACAGGCTATTTTATTCCCTTATCACACAATTTTTTTTAACTTCATAAATACAATTTTTTTCTTCTAAGAAAATTTTCATTATAACTTTTTTGAATGATCTGATTAAATTTAATTTCTTTCACTTTAATAACCTGAAAGAATATCATACCTAATTTTTCTACAAGAACTATACTTTCAAGGAGTTGTATCATACACAGAGAAAATAAATATAGTGCCTGCTGCTTATTAAACTCACTGGTCAATAAATTCATTTGCTTAATGCGTTAAAATTTTCTGGAACCAAAACGAATATAAACTAATCAATAAAAAATCAACATTTACCAAACTCATCTCCATCACTTATAAAACTCAAACTGGTGAAAGTCTGATTATTCAGATCCAGAATAAACTGTTTGTAGTTCATTCTTTTATCTTTCAGTTATGCAGTGCTTCAATAAAATGGGTTTAGGAGAAATTTTGACTATTGTAGCTAGAACCAAGAACTCCTAGGGTCTTGTGTTCATTCCTCAGTTATGGTGAGACACTGTTTGCAAATCTCTTTGTCCAGACTACAGCTGAGAATGACAGAATACCTTTATCTCATGATTAATAAAAACAATTCTTTAGAGGTGCTGGAAACAAGTTCTTTGACTGTAAATAAATGAGTGTTTCCTAGGATTAAACAATAGGTGGTGCTCGTCATCCATGAGTTCTTGTTATTGTGCTAAGTTAAAATCTTGATGATTTTTAAACATCTTGGTTTACTACTCTTTTCAATAGTAAATGAATACTGTTCCCTTTCTTGAACATCAGCTGATAAGGGGATGGAGATGTATACACACATTAAGTTTGCAGAATGTTCTCAGAAAATATCATGAAATGCTTCCTTGAATTAATATACATTATCAGTCTTTGACTGGAAAAGGGTAATGATCATTGTAGGCTGAAGGAAAATGAAAAAAAAAGCATTGATTATGCTTATAATATACCACGAAGTGACAGGTTGACTTAACACTTTCCTGCTGGCAAGAAACAGGATTTTGGATTTGTACAAATAACTGGAAGAAACATTTTTTATTTCCTTATGTGTGTGGATCGCTACATGTTGAAAAAAGCCTAAACAAAATTATTTAAGCCTGGAAGAAAGGATAAACTGCTGAAAGATTATGATATGTTTGGTAAATACTATTACGTATTTCCAGCGTCATTCTGACTAGAGGGCACTGCGTTCGTCCTAATAGTCAGTGGCAGGCAGGATACTAAAGGCGTAAGACGTGGAAGGCAGAGATGCCTAATAATATATCTAAT